CGTGGATTTTCTCGATTTCTGGAGAACCCAGCTGAAAGTCTCTTTGAACTTTTTAAAGCCTAATAAAATTCATAGAGTAAAGATAAACCCTTTTTTAGGTAGGATAATCACAGTTCAAGCTGTTAACACATCTTTAATTTTAATAAAATGAAAATCACGGAATTTAAGAAATGTTTTTTAGGGTAAACTCAAAAAATTACATTAAAAAGGTTGAATGTTTACGTACCTTATAAAGAGGTTAAGTAGTGCATCACTAGAAGAGTATACGTTTTATAGTTTATGCTAATATAAGAAATTGATATATGCTCACTAGAAACTTCATCAAAATAAGTGAAGAAAAAAAACTTTCTCTGCGGGTGCAACGTTTACCTAAACATACGTATATATAAAATAAAATAAAAGATTTCACGTTAGATATTGCTATTTATCTCAGATGAGAAACAAAAGATAAAAAGTAAGATTTAGTAAATGTGATAGTTATCAAAATCCAACCTTCAGTAGGGAACTAGCAAATAATGGGATATCTCTTTCCACACATGCATGTCTTTCTATCGACTCAGTGAAGCCGAAAAAATGTTCGCATGTGGGATGTCTTATGTGAAAATATATATCTCCATATTTGCTAGGTTCCTAATAAATTATACAAAAAACGTAAAGAGTCTTTTCTATGTCGACGAGAGAAAAGTTTACATACTTATATGTCATTATATGGTTTGGTCGGTCGCATAACAAGAGTGGGTTTAAAATTGGTTTCTTCCTCTCTTGCATTCGAGCTATAATTTACAAATTAAAACTCAATCGACTATTCTGTATGTTCATAAGAATATCACTAAGAAACACGAGATGTGTTCAACGTTTTGATGGGCATTGAAAGTATCTCATACCAGCAGCTTTCAAGAAAGCCGGCATATCACTACTACCATCATTCTAATGTGTGAATCCATCCTCGGCTAAACATCTCGAGTCTGTTTGAAACAACTCGATCTCGAGTGTCAAAGATAACAGATTGACTGTATGCTTGGTTCGTTACCTTTCCGTGTCGTGATTGATAGAATAGCAGAGAAGCAAAAAACAGAAAAGACATGTTAAAAGTACATTTTGATTTCTTCAAAAAGAGAAAAATTTTGCGCTGAGTACTATCATATAAAATGGAAATGAATGGGGTCAGGGGTCAGGGGGCACTATTGAAATGGTTCGAGAGTTTTGTAAGGCAGACCTCCAAAAATGTCAGTTGTGGGATGGTATTCCATGCCTCTGCAGATCAATACAGGAGTCCCGTGGATATCTGTCCTTGCTAATTTTCCTTTCCGGATATACACTGACAACTTGGGTAATGATCTATACTGCATCGCGAGTTTCTTGCCGACGATACTCCATTATTTGCCAGTAATGCCGACAGAAAATCTGTTGTATCAGGCATGAGCCAAAATTTATCCAAAGTTCTCTCTTGGTCTATAAAATAGCAGTGCAGTAAACAAGAAGTGCTCATGAAATTATTGATCCATTGTTTCTCAGAAAAACCGAAATACACGTAACTGATATACATAAGGACCTACCTTTCTGGAGAGAACAAATCAACTACTTTTATAAAAGTGTAGTGAAATTACTGACATGATACAATGTTACAAACTTTGTTTTAGAACACTCGATCAAATGTATGAGTCCTTACACAGCCTATTAGCTATGTAGATTGTGTCTACACAGGAACATATTCATCTCAATTCAAAGTACTATATAAAGTGCTTTGAGCAAAAAACATATTAAAATACACAGAATCAAATACAGTCCCGGAACTGTCATGCTAGTAAACAGAAAACATTTTCCTAAATCTCCTATATTTGTTCAAATAACAAATATTTTTCTCCAAGAATCAGTGATTATTCTTAGAGGTAAACAGTTTTGTGTTTTATCTAAAGGTTTTGCGTGTTTCTCCATGAATGAGTTGATATGCATAATTTTGTTATTCTAACAAATATTAACAACATATTGCTCTGAACATCTTGACTCTTTATCTCACTATTTGGTTTCCGTGTTTAGGCTGTCTGTGGGAAGTGTTGACACCTTCTTGAAATCTATGTGCGCAACTCCCGCTCAAAACTAATGCTACAGGCAAAAGAATTTCTGGATTTCCACGAAAACTACTGTGTTTAGAGTGTCATATAAAATACGACTGATTGTAGCATGTTATTAGAAAAAATGTTTTATACCGCGATGAATTCAACTGATGTTGTCTTTTACAGTATCGTTCAAGATGTCTGACGATGATTTTACCTATAACGGACAAGTTTATTATCAGAATAATCCGTATTGAGTTAAAGGATCATGTAGCAGTACATCTGTTTTCATAAGCAGTTTTTATAAACGTTTAAAGGTTGATCCAGAAGATCATTTACTTGATGAGCTTCAATCGAATAGTATAATGGATTATTTTATGTTTCTGCCGGTTGAACATAAACTAGTTTTAATTAAAAAACAACCGGTTAGCAAAACAGTACAACAAGTAAGCGATCATCGACGTGTTAACTATAGCTTTGTTTTCATTAGATCTAATTCAGCAAAGTTACGATGAGGAATGAAGTGCTCAAAACAGTCAGTGCCCTATTAAAAAGCTAAGCTTTTGTCTCTCTACGATATGACGTTGATCTTTCTTGTGCTTTCGTAAGTTTTACAAAGTACAGAAAATATACTGGTTACCATCGACCCAGCTGACATCATACCGAAGAATAAATTATCAGTAAACAAGACCTATATTCTGTAACATACTTAATCTGCATTTATTTTTTCGCAGAGTACAACATCAGCAACAGCTCGTGATGAAAATACGCAAATTGTGAATGACGAAATGGACTGGAACGATCGTAGCACAGATCATGATGACCTGTCATTATTAACCACACAGAAGAATTCATTACAAGATGTGTATGATCCAACAGAACTTTTCACAGCAACGACTTCTTCAATTTCTAACGTTTTCTAACATTACTTATGTTTCATAAGCCACGTCGTATGTTTAGGTGTCTCTCACTGTTCCCAGTTGGGTTAAAGATCAGTTTTATCCTGTTGTGGATTTTCATGAAAAATTACTCTCTGACAGTCCACCTATCGATTGTACTATTCAGACTCTTTTTAGTTTGACATGAGTTTTTCGAAAACAAAAATATAGCACTCAAAACAGACACACTTAATATGTGAATAGTGTCCGCCACTAAGAAAGCAGGTCACTCAGACCTCTCTTAAAAAATGATGCGAATGCAGTCTAAAAACAACAGGCATGCCCAAGGCACCTATCTACTCATCAAATTGCTTTCTCATTGTGCAGTCTGTAGCGTAGTTTGCTCTCATTTGAAACAACTTTAACGGAATTGATGAGACCGAGTTGAGTCTCTCTGTACCTCGGTCTATTGCTGGTCAAGCATTTGGACTAGAAACCTGCCACAAGATCCAGTCAATAATCATTCCAGTCAGTTTCTCTAGTATCAACTTCAAAATATTCAGTGAGAAGGAAATAATTCTAGTCTATAAATGAAGAGTCCATTTTGGTAAAAAATCAAAAGCATTATCCTATCATGTCCCTACATACGGAATGATACTTTATTCAATACCGCTGAATATTGTGACGACAGCGTATTCTTCAGTTTGTTTCCAGTATCATTTTGAAGAGTTTATTCAACTGTGCAGCTGTTTTGATCAACTTCTGTAGCGTCAGTAGTTGATGATCATTCTTTGAATGAGTCAAAGATCCGTTCTCATTTCAGTTTTGTTATCTGGTTGTTCTACTCTATATATTTGAGACTTGTCTAATTCAAGGAGTTGTTTGGTGGGATCCAAGGAAATATTATCATTTTCACTTGTGCAGAATATCTTTATGAATCACAATGACGATGTTGAGCACTGGCAGTGTTTCACGTCGTAGCATGGCTGTTGGAAAAAGCTCTTATGAAGTAACTATTATTAGGAGTGCATCTTTCATGCATTGTTCACGGATATTCCTTTGTGGTTGAAGATCGGTCACGCATCGAGCACTTGTTTCATACAATTAACTGTATGCGGGTCCCGATAAAAAGAAAAGCTAGAAAGGAATGAGTATATATCTGTGTAATGTGATATGTATAAGCCTTATACATTTCATCTTTATCTTCATCCTTATCTTTATCGTCTTCTTTATCTTCATCATCTTTCTCTTCATCATCTTTATCTTCATCATCTTTATCTTCATCATCTTTATCTTCATCATCTTTATCTTCATCATCTTTATCTGTCTCGTGGTCACTGTATATTCACGGAATGAATGTTCTTTTTTTCTAAAGACTGATACCACTGACATTACGTAGGAAGACAAAGTGCAACTGTGAAAAGATGGTTAGATCAAGAGGACAGATATCTTGATAAACTAATGTTATTCATTCAAGATTAAACTTTCCCTCGCTTCTTATGCTTTGCAAATTTTTTTTCTTTTTCGTAAAACAGCTAGTAGGGGTTATCAGCCTACTCATGGGGAAATTTTAATAGGTACCGCGGTGTGTACACGCGTAAATATCGTGAAATGAACTGTGGTCGCACGTGAACATCGTAAAATGGTGTGTGAGTACGCGTGAAAAATATATTCCACTTGTGACAACGGGTGAACTGGTCACGAAAACGTTTCGCGTTATATTTTTTGCACGTGATCACAGGTGAAAGGCGTGAAGTGTGCAGTGGCCACACGTGAATTTCTCATGTTAAAATTTCCGTAAAAAAATATCACTTGCGGATACGCATGAAAATATTTTTCACTAATTTCATTGTGAAAAATATCTTCACATTTATTCGCACGTCAGTTTTTCACGCAACTCATTTCGTGAATAATATTCATACTTAACCCCAAGCGACGAAATTCTTACGTTGC